CTATACTGTAATCCTTTTTCCTCGTGCACTTATGTTTTTGCGCATCTAGGTATATTAAAATGATTTTGGATCAAAATAAAATATTTTGAAGCAAAAGTAACTTACTTATATTATAAATGTGAAAGTTATTTTAATAATAAAATTAAATATAGAAATTCTTTATAGAAATAGGGTAAACAGGATTTACACGAATTTTATACAATATTAATTTGTAATAAATGATTACAATTTTCTAATATAAATGATTTACTATCAAATAGGATAATACAAAAAAAAATGTTTGTTTGTTACATCTTAGTGCTTTGACGACTTAATCTCTATAAAATTTGGTATACATATACTATATGGGACGAAGAAGAGCATAGGCTATTTTGTGTCCAGGTCAGATGTCTCAGTCAAATGAGTTTCCTGAATGGAATTTGCCTGCAATGCTGCTGTTTACAATTGAAACGGAACAACCTCACGAGTCATAACTACCCACCAAAAACTAATAGCAAAATATTAAAGAACAAAAGACAAGTTCTTACACGTGACTTCGTCCGCATGGCTTAATATTATTGATTAAGATTTTTTTAATTAAACTTTTCAAACATCTCGCGTTGTTGATACATTTTTTAAAATACATTATTGGGTCTTGACGCGATGCGATTGCAGGTGGGTCAGATAAAAAATCAGGTATGTAGGTACTATTTACCAATAAAAATTAACATACAAATCAACCCACTTTCACATTTGATAATTGTAACTATTTTCTCGTATCGCCATCGCAGTCATGGCTTCAGCTCTTCATGCATACAGAGATGCTTTTAAATTCAAATTATTTAATACAAATTCACATAACTGCACTAAAGGAAGATGCTCACCAAACTGCGTCTTAGCCTCAATTACACGGGCGTGCGGGTGCAGTGATGAAATGCAAATTTCATGCATGCACAGTCCAACCAGAGCTTGCCAGATTGTAAATTGCTTCGTCTGATCTAAATATTGACTGACCTGTAGTTAACGCTGCAATCTAGTTATGTTACTGTTCCCTAATTAGTTTAGAAGAAGAAGAAATAATACTATATATTCAGTATTAATTTGAATTAGGTAATAACGTAAAAAACCACTAAATTAAATAGAGACATAGCAACTTCGTCCTGAGACATGGCAACACATGAGGTATCATGGGCGACATAGTATACTCGAATATGTTTATCTTTTTTACCCAAGGCATAAACGAGCTGGCGGCTCATCTCATGGCATCATCATTACCTACAACACCAGAGGCATTGCAGGTGTGCTGTCGGCCACACGTATACACAGTACACAGGCTACACAGTATACTAGTCATGTCAGTAGGCGACGGTTACCACTTTCCATCAGGTGGGCCGTCAGCTTGTTTGCCATTCTAAGTTACATAAAAAAGTCGATGTAAGTAATTACGTATTGATATATGCCTTTAGGCGGGACATATATATTAATGTAATAAGGCGCAAGAGTTTATTTGAACGCGCAAATCTCTAGAACAAACAGAATTGAAGAATTATTTTTACATTGTATAACTATTATTTATCATCACTATAGGATCATATCTGATATCATATATGATGATGATGACAATGATGATACGATATGATAAATATACTTTTCAATAATATAAAATTATTAAAATAGTAAATTTATAATTTGTCGTTAAGTAACTAGTTCTTGCATTTGAATTGAAATAAAAATACGATAATTGAAACAAATTTTATATTAAATAACAATAATTTAAAAAAATATATATTGTTATTTAATATGCTATTAAAAAATTAATAATATATTAAATAAAAAAAAATCACTTTCATAGGCTTAAATAAGCTGTAAATTTGTATGAGATCATCAATTTTTTAAATCCACTAAAGCATACAGGATGATTTTGATGATTGATGATGATTTAAAAATATATATATATATATATATATATATATATATATATATATATATATATATATATAACAACGATAAGCTAATTAAAAGTCACCACATATAGTTAACGAAAGTTGAATTAGAATTAGAATTAGTTGGCTAAATAATTAATAAGTGAGCAAATACATGCTAAACGTCGTTAAAATTACTGAATGAATAATTTCCAATTTAATTTAATATTTAATTAAAAGCATCTAATCGACATCATAACCTTCAATAAAAGAGCATTTTCCTTTTTAAAAAGCCGGCAGCACATCTGCAGTGCCTTCGGTGTTGTGGGTGATCATAGGCGGCGGTAGTCACTTACCATCAGGTGAACCACATACTCGCTTGACCCTTGTGTTGTAAAAAATAAACAGATTTTTAGGCACTAAGCAGCTGAAAATTTGTATGATCAATTTTTTTTAATTAGAATATGGTAATTTGCTATAGATACCCTTGGTATTTTTGATACTGGCCACGTGGTCCTGAGACAGCTATGAGTCATTCCTTCCTTTCCCATGGGTGTCGTAAGAGACGATAAAGGGAACTTAAAGGTGTCACTGAATGAGCAGCGGCGTTTCTCTTAAAACATCACCAAAGACAACTGCGGTTGTCAACTTGCCTGCCAAGCATGGCAATTACTGGTATAACCATTTTTATAAAAGAGATCTATGTTCAGTTTACAGTTAACGGCTGATATGATGTCTTTCGGTACAAAATTAAGAGAGAGGGAGTGGGTTCTAGGATTTTTTAAAACCGAATTACAATAATAATTAATGCTCCTTTCCACTCAGGGTTTGCTGGAAGAGAATTCTTACAGAGTTAAGCTCGCCTGTTGTACATCTTTATTTTATATATATATATATATATTATATGTTGTAATTTTTTCTGTGTACAATAAAGAATAAATAAATAAAGCACATACTCCGAACACACAAAAATTTATTGCTGTATATTAAATACATCTAACAATAAAAAGACATTAACACTAAGACTAAATTAAACAAAACAACAAAATTAACAATTACTTAAATTTATATAAACATAATGAGTATTAGAATTGAGAATGATTAACTGTGCCGATATGTTAATACGTTGTTAAAATAAAAATTATACAATATAGAGAAACAAATGAAAAACATGGTAGCATCTCATTTTGCTACGGTTAGAAGCCACTTCGTCTTCAAACCGCATACGAACTTACCTCGTTCAATCGCCAATTAAAAGCCTAACCAACTCTTTAATACTACATGGAATTTCAAATTACGCGAGTGCTTTGTATTGGATGTTAACAAATCGCCCAATTTGTTTTTAACTTACTTGAAGATTCATCGACAACATTATTTCGAAGTATATTTTAATATATGGATATTATAATTTATTATATATATATATTAGGTCTTACAATTTCCTTGAAACTACATTGCTGTTATAATTAAACGTTGGCGGTTTTACCATGAAAATAATTTAATACTTTGTCTATCTGAACTAGGCATAGCTAATATAGATACCGATCCAAATAAAACAAGTTAGAATAAACATTTCATAGAATTAAAAAATATTAAAACGACAAAAAATTTCGAGTTTTCCATAATAATTCAACAACTGAATGTGCAGAGTTGGTGAGGTTCGAAAGTTTTTGTTATTTTTGGAACCAACTACTCTTGGTAAGTATTGAATTTGGCTAAGAGGCCACTCTCTGTAAAATATACTAAAATTTATATTTTCACCCTATATGTACGAGCATACTTCTGGTTAATTGATAAGAATTATTTTGTTCAATTCCGCTATCATTAGTATGCACGCAACTGCCAACATCTGAACCCAACTGCCAACAACATTTGAAATAGGCACCCAACATTATTATACATATTATACATAAATTAAGTATATTTTTATAACACACTGTTGTATACCTTGTACACATGTATACCTACACGTTATATGTTGTCTGTTATGTGTACATATGTATGTGTATACAACACTGATCATATGATTACATGCACATTAATTAAAGAATATAATTTAATTAATTTAATTAAAAATAAATATATATTAATTATTTAAAGATTATATAAAGATTCAAGTAAATATAAAGCAAGATTACTATCAAATCTACATGGTTTTCAGTATTTTATCGCGAAATACCGCCAACGAGTTATGAGTTACGTCTACTTCCCGATCTAAACCGCATATATGATTATATTTATTATATTAGAAGTTCTACAACTTTCCACGTTAGTTATCAATCTCCGACCATTATTCAGTCAACACACATGCAACTCGTGTTTCACCTATAAATGAGACATCTTCAGGCAAATTAATACTAATGTTAGCGGAATTAAACAAAAAAATCACATCGACTAATCAGTGATTTGCAAAATTACACCTAGTAATTATAATCGCTTCTTTTATTTATTAGCTTCAATTAGACAATTACAAGCAACAAATTTTATTAAGTTTTTACTTATCCATATACTAAATATTTAAATTGTAAACATTCAAAACTTTATCGAGATCAAACAGCGCCCGGTTTGAAAATTAAAGTATAAATGCAATCAAGTATCTCGGGGTCGTTTATAAATTGTAATTATAATTTAACCTTTAAATCAAATTCAAAACAAGGTTAATTAAATACAAAAGTTTGTAAAGAAAATTATAAAACAAGAATTGACCTTCAAGACGGAGTCAGACCTTTAAGAACCAGCGACACAAAAGTTCGTCTAAAACTGAACATGACCGCTGTAAATCAATATATTGATTTAATCCAGTATAAAACACATTTCCATATAAACACTAAAGATAATTAAAACTAAGTCTGAATCAGTTCGAGTTTAACAAATCAAGAAGGTCTGAAATTTTCGAAAATAATATGAATACAATAATTTACGACTTTATTTCTCAAAAAAAAACGTCTTTCATAAAAAAAAAACATTTATATACAAAAACTACTGAATCGATTTTAATAAAACTTCTATGAGGTATATATATATATATATATATATATATATATATATATATATATATATATATATATATATATATATATATATATATATATGCACAGCTTAAATGGTGATAATAATAAATAAATTATAATTATTATAATTTATATACTTAAAAAAAATTCCTAATAATCAGAAAATAAATTATACATTCATCATTTGTCAAATCTCTTGCGATTTCTATTCGAATTTTTGACATTTGTCTGACATAAAAAATACATTATTTTTTTGCTAAATCATTAAAATAATGTACAACGATTGCTACTAATCTCTCAATGAAATTATCAATAATTCATAGATAATTAGTATCCAGCAATAAATATAATTTATTAATTTAATTTAATTGTTCTTTCCACGAACATAATCTCAAAAATTAATATGCAATTTACAAAATTTAGTTTTAATTTTGAACACAAGATTCGTATGTGGGTATCATGTACTTAATGTTGATGAATGCATCAGGCCCGCCGTAGCGTTCTAGAATTTGCAATGTGTCTTCTATGAGGTCGGCGACGTTCTCACCACGGGTGGTCGTGTGATCAATACCGGAGCCGATGTTACCTGTTAATATATTCATATTGTAAATATTATTCAAAAAACATTAAATTCTCGTCCATTAAAAAAAAACCGCAGTTAGCATTTGGTGATATCTAAGTCACTGTGAAAGTACTGTATATAATATATATTTTATATCAAGTTAAGGTTAAAAATTTGCAAACATGTGTGGGCGAAAGGACTGTATGCTGGTATGGAAACACGGTGTTTTAGAAAGATAATATAATTATATAAAAAATATACATAGCAAACCAACGGAGTAAAAAAGCGAAGGCAAAACAAAACCGAAACTGACACAGACTTCAAATTATAAAAAGAACATCTTTTTAATAAAATTAAAAAAGAAACTAAAAAGGTGCGTCGTGCACAAACATGATTGCATGTTTGTTATCCAATCATATTAAAATGGCTGAATGATGATGATATATGATGATTTGACGATTTCTTTGATATACAAGAAGGAGATAAATGCAATAAATTTTCCTTTAATATTATACTAATACTATGGTTTTTTTACTGTAAATGTGACATTATTTAATTTCTTTTTTTTTTTTTATATATATATATATATATATATATATATATATATATATATATATATATATATATATATATATATATATATATATATATATATATATATATATATATATATATATATATATATAGGTTGTCTGTAAGAGATTGCTTTTAGCGATAAGGCCGCCTTTTGTATATGCACGTTCTGTATAAATACTCCTTGTATACATCTCTACTGTGCGCAATAAAGAGTTTATTATTATTATTATTATATATATATATATATATATATATTGTAACTTAAATATATAGATACAACTATGTATTGCCCATATCTATTACGCATATGATAATCACAAAAATTATCTTGGAAATATGAGCTTTAATACCTCGGCGTAAGAACGTACGTTTTCGTAGGCGATTGGCTGTTATCAATCATATGAGATACACCGAAATAATTGACACGTGGAGAACGCTCAGGAGATATTGTTTTCAACCTAATAGACTTGTTAGTACACCGTACTAGATTAATTACATGTGGCGCTGTTGTGCCACAGCAAATTTCGAGCACGTCACGGCAGCCACGCCGCGAGTTGACACCCGACCGCATTGTTAGGGAATTCTACGCGCGCCGACACTAGGTTTCTATAAGTGAACATGTATACTAACCGAGTCGTGAAGAAAATGAAGGGATTCATTGTGAAAATATTATTGTTTTTTTATAATTATATTAGCGCTTATTGCTAATGTATTAAGGCTGCCTTTTGTACCATATTTTTCTTTTGGTCAATAAAATAGTTATTTAAATTAAAACAAATAATATAATTTTATTTATTTATTATTATTATATATAATAAATATACAAATACCAGTATATTAGACCCCGTACTAAGTGAAACTTTAACGCGGAAGTCCTTATAATTAATATGAATTACTATCATCATTAAATTATGTCTAATTAATTATATAATTAAATATAAAAGTAAATTTAAATATAAAATGTTTTTTTAATACAGATTAGTGAGCAATCATAGCGTGCTACAATCGTTTTAAACATAGAAAGGTCTAAGTAATAGAATCCTATAATAAGAACTGGTTACCCTGTGCACCGAAACTTGCACTCTACCCTCAAACTATAATGCGTCTAATATATAATATCCAATATAAGGCATCTCAACACCTGTATCAAATAGCTAGAAAAGAATATCCAAATAAAAGCAAACTTTAAAAATTTTCTTTTGTTTTTTTTTTTTAAGACGAAGGTAAAGAACGACAAGCATACTGCTCGTCTCGTAAACGGTCATTGTAGCCTATGGACGCCGGCAACACTAGCGGTGTCACGTGCCCCAAATATATGTTTATTTAAGTTTCACAAAAAAGCCGATTTTAGTTGTGACAAAGATATTTATACTAAATCGATTTTGATGAAATTTCTATGTAATCAATCTATAAGTATATCTTTTCTGATAATAAAAAAGAATTTTCCAAATCGGTTTAATGAGACAACAAATATAAAAAAGCATAATATAATAAAACCTCGTTTCCTTTCGAAGTTTGCTAAAAATATGTATAACAATTTTTAAAACAGCATTACGTAGACAACAATGGCTTTTGGGTTGTTAATAACCACAAAATAGTTGTTGCCACACCTAAGCTGACATGTTTGTCTAATGAGCTTCCACACAATATGTGTGTAAGGGCCGCAAATGCCTCATTTCTCTTGTTACGAAATAGTTGCGGTCCGACGCTGTGCTACGTTTTTGTGCTGTTTCGTTCACTTTACTCAGAGTTAATGTTTTGCAAATTATATACATATCTTTATTTATTTTATTTTTATTTTTTATACAACTTAGAATGGCAAACAAGCTGACGGCCCACCTGATGGAAAGTGGTAACCGTTGCCTATAAACATGAGCAGTACCATGGACATAACAGATATACTGTTTCGTCTATGAAACCCCCCATGCATTGCCATTCCTGAAGACTCAGATATTATTCCTCCTGTACCCTGTAAATTCACGCTCTATTGGCGACGGTTATCACTTTCCATCAGGTGGGCCGTCAGCTTGTTTGCCATTCTAAGTTGTATAAAAAAAAGGTTTTTTATAATTGAAATAGCACTTAACATTGGGTAGGGAGAAGGGAGGGGGTTGGGGATTTTGCCTTACATTGCAAAATTTCCTTTAAAGTAGAAGCCTATGTTCATCAGTTCATCAGCTAATATGATGATGATATGACGAATGAAAATTATTATATTAAATCAGTAAATACTAATTTAATTTTGGCTGTTTAAAAATTTTACACTGCTGTATCCGCTGACATTGATGCTCCTTTCCACTTTGGGTTTGCTGGAAGAAAACTCTATCAGAGTTACGCTCGCCTTTATACTTTTGTTTACCTCTGTCATATTTTTATAACTAATGTGTACAATAAAGTATTAAAATAAAAAATAAATAAATAAAAAATACTAAAAAAAAAGTAGTAAAGTGTCATACGATTTCTGTCTTTGAAGAGATTCAACGTAGGTAGAATCTGTCTGTAGTAAGGCACCAGTGCTTCCCCCACTCGATCGCATCCGGTCACTAGCATCTGGATGCATTTGAGGGCGTGACACAGAACTGACGGCCGTTTTGTCGCCAAAGCGTCTGCAATAAATATATCGTTAACTTTACTAATATAAGTTTATTGTTTTGTTTTGTTTTCATTTATTTATTGCCTTATTTAATCTTGACAACTATCAATCGATATATATATATATATATATATATATATATATATATATATATATATATATATATATAATTTATTTATCAAACGCAAGATATATACAACATGAGTACATTGGACCTCGCACTAGGCGAACCTGTATCGCGGGAGTCCATAAGGAATTAAGGAATTTGTTTTACAAATTACCTGCTTCTTTATCGCCAACGTATAGATATATAGGTACTATTTACTTATACTTTTTCATCGCGTTAAGGTCCCGAATTTGCAAATATATATATACACACACACACACACACACACACACACACACACACACACACACACACACACACACACACATATATATATATATATATATATATATATATATATATATATATATATATATATATATAATAAAATTTAAATAAAGCTAAATCGGTTTTATACTAGATTCTACAAAAACACCTGAAACCCCACAAACAATATTATTTGTCTGTAATCGAATACCATCTCTTGAGTATTTCGATTATGAGAAATTTCATTATTTTTTTTTTCACATCACCCTAAGTCAAATTCAATCTGAATAGAGCGGATCAAGTTGCAAGCAGGCATTCAATACTGGGACTCAAGTTCCTTACTTGCCCGGCTGTAAATCAACATATCTGTTGAAAGGGATATTGAGCAATTTGTACTGAAATATATGATAAATGCAGTAACACTACCGGACGGATGTTGTACATTTTGTTGGTAGTGCTTCTCGGTAAAAATTTTATACTTTTCACGCCTCTGCATCTTAAGACATAAAATTGAAGGGTTCTTAATATAATAAAAAATAAACACAAAAAATACAACCGTATTTTTTATGTTTATTGCCACATAATTCCATCATTTATAAACTGATTTAGAAAAATCCTTTTCTATCTAAAAGAACATATATTTAGGTTGATTCCATAGAAATTTTCAAAGTCGGTGTTTATTTCATGGAACAAAATCTTAAAATATTCTTCAATGATGATCATCATCATCATATCAGCCTTTAACTGTCCACTGCTGTACATAAGCCTCCCCCTTGGGGGGTATCGCCAGTAGTTGCTACATTTGGCAGGCGAATTGGCAACCGCAATCAGGCTTTAGAGATGTTTTAAGAGGGCCCATCCCTCACCTCACCTTAGTCGACTGTTACGACAACCACGGAAAAGGAAGGGGTGGCCTATTCTATGCCAGGATCACACGTCCCATGATGTTTCGACATAATTAAAACTGATTGTTAACTACTAATTATAAAGAAATAAACTTACTTTTGATTGGGATGATCAGTTGTGGCACCACAGGCAGAACTTTGTACGATCCCTTAGTGACCAGATCGTGAATACCTTGTTCTACGATGAAATTGAACGGGTACGTTCCTTCCGCCAGACCATCAAAGAACATTGGTAGATAATGGTGAAAATCCAATTTCTCTATAGGCACCTATAAGCGAAGAATTTACGTCACAATTTTTTTTTTTAATTATTTTATTAAATTCCGTACTAGCCATCAATTTCCAACTGCCATTTCGTTCACGTACGTTTTGTGACACGTGTTTCACCTCTAAAGGAGACATCATCAGGCATATTATTAAATTGCTGCACGGAACCTAATGTCAGCCGTTTGACCTCCAAACTATAAACTTCAAGTGTTGGCAGTCACACAGGTACCATTTATAATTATTTTGTTTAATTCTGAAACCTCATGGTAGCAGAATTAAACAAAATAATTCTAATCAAACAACCAATGATATAGACTTCCGCAAGATAACATCTATATCAGGAAAATATTTACAAAATCTCATTCATGCGTGTATAAATCTATATAGAATAAATTTGTATTATAAGGGTTAATTGAAAAATAAAAACGACATTAAAATCTTATGTTTATATTTAGACAACAAGATAAAAAGTAATTCGTAATCTTTAGTGAATACTTTGATTTATTTAAATATTACAAAGTTAAAAATATCAATTATTTCTTGGATCGAATACTGTGAGACTGTGTCAACATTTTCATAAAAGGCACGTCTCTAGTCCAATTAAAAATATTACACTTTGCCGGCATTAGCAGCTCAAATACAATATTTTAAAAGAAAAATTAAAAGATCTAAAGAACAAGATACCATATATACCCATCGAAAAAAAAGCATTCCACGAATATCTGATTACTCGAACCGAAGCCTGAGAACTTTTTAAATATCTTTAAGAGAGGCACTTACCTCGTTTTTAATATTACTACATAATGCCACTTAATATACTCTAAAATAATACATTTTTATGTTGTCTTACCTTCTTAGATTTCTGATTTATTTTTATTTTTCATTATTTTTTGTATTTATTAAATATGTAATTAATTGATTTCAGTATAAATAACTTTTTTTATACAACTTAGAATGGCAAACAAGCTGACGGTCCACCTGATGTAAAGTGGTAACCGTCGCCTATAGACAAGAGCAGTACCATGGACATAACAGAGTATACTGTTTCGACCATGATACCTTCATGCGTTGCCATTCGTGAGGACTAAGTTATTATTCCTCTGTACCCTGTACATTCCATTTATTAAAACAAACAAAACAAACAATTCAAATTCAAAGTCGATTGCTTGGGTACTTCTGTCCCATTCGTGTTTTAATCGGGAAGCAGTTGTGTTTGCATGGCTGTGTTTCGGTTTGAAGATATGGCGTGAATTTACTGGGTACAGAGGAATAACACCTGAGTTTAAACACCTGGGCATTCTAAGTTGAATAAAAAAATATTACGTTTTTGTGTTGTGTCATTGAATTACAAAAGTGACGCTTAGACTTTTTAGCTTTACTATTATTCTACAATTAACCCATAAATACCTGAAGTTTCAAATTTGATGCCGGGGTTATAAATCGCATTGGGCGCCTACAATCGATTTTATTCTAATATTTGGCTGTTTACATGTTACCAAATGTTTTTTCATAATAAATATATAAAAATATCGTTTTGATTTTTTTTACTATTTTTCCCCATTAGTAAATAGTAAAGGGTACACTTATATATATTTTTAATTTGATTTAAACAATCAGGCTTTTAAGGGTTAAACAGATGTTTGGGTGATATCATCAACACGGGTATTCTCGTACAGAGACATAACACATTAGTCCTCATGAATGACAACGCATAAGGGGTATCATGGGTATCACACTTTATCTATAGACGACGGTTACCGCTTTCCATCAGATAGGCCATCAGTTACATTAAAAAAAAATATCCCAAAAAATAAATTGAAAAATCGAAACAAGAAAGCTTAAACCCTATCTAACGTACATAATCTTTCTAGAACATAGCGGCCTCAGGGATGTAACTACAAGAACTTGTCCTAGAAAAATACAAAACACACACGACACGAGGGATCTTAACAATGCAAGCAGTTACGTGTGGAACCTAGTCAGGAATGAGATTACCTTCCAAGCGAGTCGTTTCCCGATGGTCGTGAATTCTATAGAGACAGGGAACTCGCCGCGTTGGTAACACTTTCTGAACATGGTCGGTCTCGGGGGTAGCGGGTCGTATATACCGCATTTCGGTGGCGGTATCACACGAGTGTTTTTTTGTAGGGCTGTAAAAAATAGTGTATATTTATTTATTTATAATATCAACTGGATGAGCTGTACAATCTCCCAATATGCTCACCCAGTAAAGCATCAGTACAATAACATATATAGAAAAGGAATAATATAAATAGAAAGAATAATATAAAAAGATTTAACTAGAAATCATATTAGATCCTTAATCTCTGAACACAAACATTCTGTGGTCATCCGCCGAAACTTCAGCATGTTGGAGGCACACATGTCCAATCGCGGATACTGGACACACACACACACACACACACACATATATATATATATATATATATATATATATATATATATATATATATATATATATATATATATATATATACAGTTATATTACACATGACAAAAATGAAGCTACCTGCAAAAAAACTAAAGTCACGGACATAGCCCGTAGGAAAAACTGCAATGTGCAAGTCACATAACTCGAAATATCTACGTTCTCAAGTGGCGATCCCGAACGAGGAAACGCAGTGTAGGACGACCCCCCACTCAATGGAGTGATTAATTTAAATGCATTACAGGAAGTCAGTGAACGCAAGTGGATAAACGGATTTACATAAAATTTAGTACATCGGTTGTTAGCATATAGAATACTTTATACACTATAATATTACAATATAATACTATTAAATTATTATTACCTTGAATGGTAAATGCGGGGACAACTCTCGGTTTCTTGGTCTTGTATCCATAAGGGTAGTTAGGACTCGGCTTCTTCAAAGAATGCCGAAAGTCCTTCCCGCACATAACCGATCCGCACACGGGTAACAGCACCATATTCATACATATACATAGATAAACTCAAAAAAACATGATACAACAATGTACGAGCGAGTAAATAATCCAATAATATCTATCTAAATTGTTGACACAAGTAATAAAATAAGAAAGTAAATTTGCTCTAGGCCGGGTTCCGATTTGATTGTTTATTTTGCAACGTGATCGTTGCCTGGCAACGAGTTGCCTATCGATTGATGGGCGACGGTGGCGCCGCTACGGCTTCTGTTGTGCTGGAGACACACAGGTGGCTTACTTGCAAGTATTTTTTTAATTATTAGTATGAAATAAACTACTTTTATATAACGTATCAATATAAAACGTGTATCAGATTTTAAGATATACCTTCAAGAACATCATTGTGAAAATGGTCTAATTTGGGGATGTAATTACAGACATATAGTTATACACACAAAATTTCGAAAAATTATTCTTTTAACTTCTGTTAATATTATTAAGACATCTTAATTTAAAAATATATATATCAATTGCCTATAAAGTAAGCTGCTTAGTTTGGAATTACTTAAATATATACTTTTTAAATACATTGTATATTCGCTTATAAAAATAGTGTTTTGATTTTTATGATTCATTTTTTCTTTGGCGATGACCGTGTACGAGTTTAGGTAAAACAGTCTCAAAACATATTAAAAGAATTCCGTGTGATCTGATTCTCTAATCAATGAAATCTGCATGAATCCAAACTGTATTAATAAGTAGACAGAATTTTCGAAAATATCTTTAAAAGCTTTCTATACACTAAAAAATTTTTATTTGTTTTTGGCTGAGCAATATTTGAGTTTATACATTACAAACAAAAAATAAATAATCAAATTTTTCCATTTTAATAACACACATTATACATAAGTTTAAGATTTACTTTAGAGTCTCATACAAGTCAACTGTAATGTATTTATTCAGTTTATTTTTCTGTAAATTATACTAAAAAACAGTGTTAATTATTTTACTATGTATTTATTTTTCTTTACTTGTTAAAATATTCCTTTACTTACTTCTATCCTCTGCAGTTACCGAATAAGAATTTTCATTACAACAAAACTATACGTAATACTCCACAAAATAACCAAATAACGCATATGTTCACGCAATAAGTATTTTATTATAAATTAATATTTTCGTGGTAATAAAATAATTAAATAAAATCATCAAACAGGATTAAGTCTTGATAATCAATATATAATAAAAAACGAAATGAGTTTCAAGTCTATCAAGTCATATATATTCATTATATTTCAAATACGGAACCCCTAAAAAATATAATAAAAAAAAAATTCCCAACATTTAATCTAATAAAAGAAATCTGCTCATAATCGCCGCGTAACGTTCGCGCGTCTCTAAATCGACGCTACCGAAATGGTTATTTTATTATCGTGTACATACGTCTTTAGAGCTAGCTATATGGACATGACTAGTGACGTGCTCATACCGATGGGATTTATCGATGAATATAGAAAATATTTAAGTCTTATTAATGTAATAAATGCATAAGTTTGTGACGATGGATGGATGGATGATTGTATATATGTATGGATGTTTGGTACACTTCATTTAAAACTAATGAACCGGTTTGAATGAAATTTAGGTAACATTAGTATATAAACATGGGTAGGTTATATATTAATTTAGAACATAGAAAACTTTATGCACTGATTTATGCAGGCAGAACCGCAGGATACAGTTAATTAATAATTAATTATTGTTAGCTCATGAAGGTTTTTCGAAGTCAAATTTATAAATGCTTGTACTGTTTCCACAGATAAAATATAGTTTAATATAAATCTGTGGAAGTAGTACAAATGTTTTCTTTATCGCATATAAAGGTAAATAATGAAACTATTTGAGAATAAATGGATTACATTTATGATAGATTTATTACTGTAATGAAATGAAAACAAAATTGTTATGTTCTAATTTAATATAAAATATACGTGCAATACTCTAAAAATAACAAATTCATAAACAATATATGAGTAAATTACGTATGTGGGCTTTACTTACGTTTAAAATTTCGGGGATGTTTGACACTAGTTGGGTATCCCAAAATTTTTAAATGACAGCTATGTGGTACCGGCGGTGAAAAGGTCACCCCCTTCCTTTCCCGCTTGGCAATCGTGGCAACTACTGACAAAACCTCCCAAAGGGGAGGCTTATGTTCAGCAGTGGACATGATATGATGATGATGATGAATACTTGATGCTATTTTTTTTTATACAACTTCGAATGGCAAACAAGCTGGCGGCCACCTGATGGAAAGTGGTAATCGTCACCTATAGACATGAGCAGTACCATGGACATGACAGAGTATACTGTTTCGTCCATGATACCCCCCATGCGTTGTCATTTCTGAGAACTCAGGTGTTATTCCTCTGTACTCAGTAAATTCACGCCATATCCCACTCTTCAAACCGAAATACAGCAATGCCAACATAATTGCTTCACGGTTGAAACACGAATGGGACAGAGGTACCCAACCAATCGACTTTTGTACAAAGTCTGCCTCTGGTAACTATTTATATATCAATCAGATGATATATTTCTTATAAATTTCATTATGAGATAGATTCAATAATAAAAATGTTTAAACATTGAAACTTCCACTGTATATCAGTACCAGACTGTCGGTACATTTAATAAACGTTATTACGTATATTAAATGTACTATATTTAGTCAGATTTTTATTTAGACTGATAGATTAATCGATATAAGCTGTGAACGCAACACTAGACAAGGATTTCACGGCAAATTGAATGTCGAACGGCGACTAAGGCGTTCGATATTTAAAATTTAATATTGCATCAGCTGCGGTTCGCATTATGAAAATTTTTATATCGCAAGTAGCGAAGTTCTGAATGAACCTACTTATGCTCTATAGTATGGTAACATTAGCGTCATTTTATTCTCAATAGTGACACGGAAGTGTAAAAGTGAGAAAAATTTAACAAAACTTGAATAAGTAAAATTTACTTAAGTAAAAATAACTTATACAATTTTAATATAAATTGTATCTTCAGTTTTAGAGTCATTAAGATCAAGCTAGAGGTATTTTAGTACATTATTTTAATCATTTTAGTAGATTAAATTAATTATTAATTATTTGTTATTGTTTGTACCTAATAAACTTGTTCTTCTACAACTTTTATTCTTTGTACACTCTTAGATAAAATAAAGTAGTCAAACTAAAGTGAGCGTTTCTAAAATCGCCAAATTATTCATATATGCTTCGGCAAAGAATTTTAAATTACTCCTTCATAACTATTAGCGCCCTCTTTGTGGAGATATTTAGTTTTTATTTACGGATTTTATATTGTACATGCCGATATGGTGGAATGTGGAATAATGGACATGTAAATAATATTTTCATCTAATGTATGTACCCATATTCGTGCAATAAATGATTTGAATTTGAATGAATTTGAATGGAGATGTCGGTAGGGGCCGCCCTAGATGGACCAAATAGGCGACGTGCTGAAGAAGGGCCAAATTAAAAGACTCGTGACCGGCGCGCGTGTATGAAAAGATTAATGAATGTGGAAGAAGCGAAAGAGGTTTGTTTAAACCGAAGCATTTGGCGTTCCATTGTTTCTGCCTACCCTAATGGGAGACAGGCGTGACAGATATATATGTATGTATAATTTTGAATTTGGATAGTTTTCAAAAAGCATTCTTAATTTGATTTATAGGTACTTTTTCACTGTCATATTAGTTCCGTAATTATAACATACCGTACTATAAAAGTTTTTCTGATTTTTTTTTAATTAAATTAAAAAAAAATCAGAAAAACTAATAAAATATCTCTATTCGAGGAAACTTTAATTTATCCTTTATTGATAAAAATCCCTAGATAATGCAATTTTAAAAATTTCGTTGTGCTAATTGATAAAATCGATAATTAAAAAATTCCATGAAACTGTAGTACTACTGTAGTAGATACTATTTTTATATTATATATGCCATTGTGTAAGAATGATTGCTTAGTCTCTGGTTAGATTTAACTAGGTAGTTAAAAGTTCTTTCATAGACATAATACAACGTAAAACCTATGTATTGACCTATTTTTTTATGGGAGAAAATGGTATGGTAACCCCGCCTGCGCTAACGGGATACGCTGGCGGAGCACCAGTGAAGGGTGATAGATGAGAATGAAAACAGGCCAGTTAGCCCATCATGATGAATTCAACAGGAATTAACCATGATAGTTTCCAGGAGAAACCGCGAGGTAGTTGACCTGGTTGGGTATATTGCTAGCAATGGGATTTTCAATCTCCATTATTAACAATCCCTTTTCCCCCAATACTGACCTCTTTAGAATGTGGACATACAGACATTATATCCTCTATCTATAAGAATAACTCGAATTTTGATCTTTATACTTTTTATTTCTGAGCTTAAATTCTATTACGAGCACACCATGCAATATAAAATAGATTTTTTTTTAAATATTTATGGTATTTATTATTAATTTTACCAGAGGGAGACTTTGTACAAAAGTCGATTGCTTGGGTACCTCTGTCCCATTCGTGTTTCAACCGTGAAGCAGTTGTGTTTGCATGGCTGTGTTTCGGTTTGAAGGGTGGGATATGGCGTGAATTTACTGGGTACAGAGGAATAACATCTGAGTCCTCAGGAATGGCAACGCATGGGGGGTATCATGAGTGAAATAGTATACTCTGTTATGTCCATGGTACTGCTCATGTCTATAGGCGACGGTAACCACTTCCCTTCAGGTGGGCCGTCAGCTTGTTTGCCATTCTAAGTTGTATAAAAAAAAAAAGAAAAATCTAGTAGTAATTCTATGCCGTGTAGTCCAGGCTTAGAATAGGCAATCCTTTCTTTTTTCATGGATATCGCAAGAGACGATTAAGGAAACTTTATAGTCGAGAGATGTGCAGCAGCGTTCCAATATATCTATATCACAATACGTTGAGTACTAACCAACTACCAGAGGGAGACTTTGTATACTCTGTAGAGTAGTATACTCTGTTATGTCCATGGTACTGCTCATGTATATAGGCGACGGTTACCACTTTCCATCAGGTGGACCGTCAGCTTGTTTGCCATTCTAAGTTGTATAAAAAAAAAACTAACTAGTGGTATGAAATATTGCAAAATAACACGTAGTTCAATAAAATATTCATTTTATAGAAAAATATTATAG